TCTTGTGTTGTTATTTATCATCCACTTAGAATTTCAATCCTTGCATATGTGGCTATTGCTGTGACAAGCAGTATATACTATATATAAATGTGTAGTCAGCTGCAGTGACTCTCTTGGGGCCATTTTGCTTGCACTGGCTTTTGGCTCTTACTCTCCCTTTTGTTGATCTCACATTCAGACGCACGGCTTTGTGAAACTCCAGTGATACATATCTATCTATCAGAATCCCTTTTTAGGGTATCTACTCTTGACACTTTCCTGGATAACTCTAACCCCATGAAAAATTGGTTAGCATCAATCTTTTTGTCATCTGCTCCCTTGTTTAATAGGCACACAGAAGCAAGCTAAGGTTTCTTTGGCTACCTCATGTGATGAAACAGTGAATTAACAAAACCCAACCAAGATGCTTAAAAACATCTCCCCACCTTTCTCTATTCAAAAACTAGAAACACATCTGAGAGCGTATAGGAATGGAAATTTGGGACAGCCAATTTTTTGGAATTTATAGAAATCATCACATCTTTTGGTTGGAAGCATAAGCTATAGCATCGGATATTTCCTCCTTCCCTGGCTGTCTATTCATAATTCCCATCTCACAAGCACTTTACTAGATTACCTAAAATTAGTGACACAAACAATTAAAAGTACTTTACTAAATTATGACAAAGTGTGTCATTGAGTGCAGGTCTAAGTTTTTCAGTTGTTCCCAGGCTCAACTGTACATTACCATGGTTGGGAGAGCTTGTTAAAAATATAAATATCTAAACTCAAACTCCCAAGATTCTGACTTAGTAGGTATGGGGTTAGGATTTTTCTGCTGCCTTCTTTTCATCTAAAGGTTTGGAGAGTCCGCAGGCTCAGATGTCTTCTGTTCTCCAGCTGTGCTTGCTCCCTAGGTGATTGTATCTGGACTCAGAGATGTAAATACCAGGTATACACTTATGCTTATATCTTCAGCCTGCTTCTCTCCCTTGCACTTCGGACTAACACATCAATCCCCATCCAACACCTAAAACTTAATTTGTCTTGATTCCCTTCCAAGTCTGTTTTTCCTGTAGTCTTCCCCAACTCCAAATACACAACTCTGTGCTTCCTGTAGCTGAGGTCAAATTTTTTTCTCATACACTCCATATAAAATGTGTCAGCAAATTCCCAACTTTCAAAATATATCCCAAATCTTTTTACTTCTCACTGTTGGCCACTCCTTCTCACATGGTCTAAATTTGCATAATTTCTCTCCTGAATTATGGCAATAGCCTCCCAGCTGATCTCTTGGCTAGGCCATCCACTACCACCATCTCCCTTGCTCCTGCCACTCCTGCCATTTTGCTTTCTTGCTCTTCCTGGAGTATCCAGAGCTTTTGCAGTAACTCTTCCTTCTGGCAGGAAGGCTCTCTCCTGAGATATTTGCATGCCATACTCCATCACTTTTTTTTTTAGGTCCTTGCTTACACATGATCCTAACAGAAGAAGCATCCCTGACCAATCCACGTAGAATAATCAGAGCTCTGCAGCCCGACTTTATTTCTCTCTCTAGTATGTATCCCTGCCTGAGGGGTTTTACATTTTGTGTGTTGTCTGGATCCCCCTACCACAATGTAAGCTTCGGGAGAGAAAGATATTTATGCTAGTACTTAGTAGGCACTCAATAAATATTTGTTCGATGAATGAAAGAAAACGATATTTTCCAGAAATAGCTTCTTTTCTAAGCATCAGTGCCACATTTACGGTTAGGGTACTTGACCTCAACAAACTTCTATCTTGCTCATGTCTGTGTCTTATGCGGCTGCACTAGGGATTCAATAAACATTCATTGAGTGAATGAATAATTGTAGTGTAGAGGAAATGCCACAGACTTTAGAGACAAGTGAGCCAGACTTAAGTTTCAGCTTAGCCTTGTCTTAATCATGTGACTCAGACCGAGTTACTAAGCCTTCCTGAGCTGTTGCTTCCCCATAAAATAAGTTCTGTCTTTACATGATTGTTTTAAGGATTAAATGAGATAGTATATAGAAATCTTTTAAATATATGGACTTAACATATTAAATGGTGGGCACCTGTAATCCCAGCTACTTGGGAGGCTGAGGCAGGAGAATTGCTTGAACTCAGGAGGCAGAGGTTGCAGTGAGCCAAGACCGCACCATTGCACTCCTGCCTGGGTGACAGAGTGAAACTCCATCTCAAACAAACAAATAAACAAACAAAAACAACAAAAAACATTACGAACTCAGTATATTGATGCTGTGGTTCCTTATCCTGACCAATATTAACTACTTAACTCCTTTCCTTTTCATTAGACTCCCTGCTTCAGTTTCTTTAAAATCAATGAAAGACACTAACCAAATCCAAGCTTTGGTAACTGAGCTCCTCACTGGTCCAAGTTCCTGGACCTTGGATTTATGAACATCGCAGATTTAGCCTAAAGACTCAGGGAAAGAATGAATGGCCATAAATTTGTACTCTGGAGGATCTTAAAAATTTGTCTCGAATATATGCAGAATCTGACCTTTTATCGCCTCCAACTCCATCTGTCCTCTGGATTATTGCAATTGGTTTCCTTGCTTTTGCACTTGTGCCCCTCCATTCCTTTCTCCATCCACCAGACAGAGCAATCCTTTTTAAAAAGCAAGTCAGAGCATGTCAGTCTTCTGTTCTACTGGTTCCCCATCTCACTCAGAGTAAATGCCAGAGTTCTTAAAAAAGCCCAGAAGGCCCTACAAAATCTCATCTCTCTCACATTTCTGAGCTCATCTCCCACTATTTCTTTCTTACCCTCACTCCACTTCAGTTACCGTAGGCCCTTTGCTGTTTGTGGAGCATGTTACAAGGCATGTTCCAACCCGAGGGCCTCTGCACTTGCTGTTCCTTCTGGCTGGAATGCTCTTTCCTATTAGTATGGCTCCCATTCTCACCTACTTTAGAGCTTTCCTCAATAGTTCATCTTTACAAAAAAAGCTTTCCTTGACCTCTTAAAAAATGTCAATTGTTCTCATCCTAGGAAAACACATGGCCTTTCCTTACATTATTGTTGTTTTTATTGATAACACCATAGTATCATTGGATAAATGATATATTTTGATTTATTTTGGCTATCCTCTTAGACTAGAATATAAACTCCATGACAGTGGGAATTTTTTCTTTTTTTTTATTCTCTGCTATGTCCCTAGTGCCTGGCACACAGTAGGTGATCAATAGGGTCTTTTTTTTGTTTGTTTTTTGGGTTTTTTTAAGACAGGGTCTTGCTTTGTTGCCCAGGCTGGAGTGCAATCATTTTTTTTTTTTTTGATTTGCTCTGTTGCCCAGGCTGGAGTGCAGATCATAACTTACTGCAACCTCTAACTCCTGGGCTCAAGCAATCCTCCCGCCTCAGCCTCCCAAGCAGCTGGGACTGCAAGCACATGTCATCATGCCTGCCTAATTTAAAAAATATTTTTAGTAGACATGAGGTGTTGCTATGTTACCCAGGCTGGTCTCAAACTCCTGTGCTCAAGCAATCCTCCAGCCTCGGTTGGGATTAAAGGTGTGAGTCACTGTGCCCAACCAATAACTGTTTATTAAGTGAAAGAATGGATGAATGAATGAATGAGGGGAGAGGAATGGATTAGGTGTGGCCTGTGTGTCCATGTGGGAGTGTGAACTGGAAGGAAAGAGAATTTAAATTCTGCATGTTAGGGCTTCCTAAGCCATCTCGTCCTCATAAGGAGGTAGAAGTTCTGTCTTCATATGGTCATTCTAAAAATTAAATGAGATAGCACATAGAAGACTCTTAATTTAGGGACTCAGGCTTGGTTGCTCCTGTCATCCAGCCCACTGACAGCTGATGCCACAACAAAGCAATGTGCTGGAATGAGTCAGGTTCCAAAATGTTGGAAAACCTCCACATGTCAAGGTGAACTTGAAAGTTAGGAATTCACACTCCCTTGTTGCATATTCCCCCTAGATGGTTAACAGAAGGGCAGAGACTCTTTCTGGTATCCCCCTGTCCCCTAAGGAATAGATATGAAGAATAGCGGGTTTCCAAAAACACCTCACTGGTAAATAGAATTGATTTTTCTGTTTCCTATCTTTCTGGATCATACTTTTGCTGGCTTGAATGGGGAAATTGACTGTGTAGGTTTAAAATGTTCCTTTAAGAATTTCATTATATGCCAGAGAGTGACGAAAGGATTAATTAAGCAAAGTAGAACTTGGAAGGTGATTTAACTGCAGTTAGTCATCATCTTTAACCTTGGCATTTTCATTATGCTCAGGAACCACACTCCTCTGGGTCACTTTTCATGTGATGGCTCACTCCTCATGCAGCTATTCCTAACCCTAAAGGAGAAGAGAGATTGACTCAGATCAGCACCGTTGGATGGCTTTCTTGCTTTGGAGAGATGCCTCGGGGGTGAAGATGAATCGGATTGCAATCAAAACACAGAAAGGGAAAGATAGGGTGGAGTTGGGGAAGAGTCATTTCCTAATTTAAGTTGACTTTCTCTTACCTTTTTTTGTGGTTCTTGAGGATAAAGTTGAGACTGAGTCTTTTCCAAGACTTCAGGCCCCACTGGACAGCTTCTTCCTCTACAGGCCTGGTCCCTGGCTGGAAACACCCTTCCTGGCCTAGCTCTAGGGACACCAACTCCTCCTGCTTACCTCCAGCCCAAAGAGTGGCCATGCCTTCTTGCAATTGCTCGTCTGGGGGAAGTTGTACCATTTGTTGAGATTCTCAGTTTTTTTTTTTTTTTAATCAGATATGAAACCAATTCTCTGTACCCAAAACACTTTTGTTTTTCAAGATACAGAATGATTTTTGTTTTATTGACTGTACCCTCACTGGTCTGCTTAGCTAAAGCAACTTCTAAATTTTATAAATTAGATATTATAAATTATCACATTATTTTTGAGTTTTTTTCAATATATGAAACTGAGAATATTGATGTTAGTCTGTATGGATGTATATACCTATTCAGTCATGTCTTTGTTTAATACTTATATATACCACTCTGGATTTTCTGCAGGTGGGTATTGGAACATGGAACACTGATTTTTCTACTCATAGATGGAAAGCTCCTAGAGAATGTCTGAATAGTTTTTGACTTGGTCTCCCTTTGTGTCATCAAATCTCTGTCACCAACTAGAGGTATGATTTTGGAATTTTATGTAACTTCTCTGTGCCTCAATTTATTGTGCATCTGTAAAAGAAGAAATGTGTAATGGGTCATTTAAAAACTTAGCCTCAAAACTCCTTTTTTTTAAAATCTGATCTGAACCTCAACATGTAAAGTGGGACCCCCTAAGTTTGCCTCCCTGACCTCCAGATGACGTTCCTTGGTCTCCTACATTGACCTGAGTAACCACTGCCTAAACCTGGAGCACAAAATGACTGGGTGCAGCATGCTCACATTCTGCTCTGAAAGATTTTGATTTTTTGCATCTTGAAGGAATCCAGAAATAATGACTGTTTTGCCAGGATTGTATTTCCCAGTTTTTTAACTAAGATGTAAACAAGCCTAATATTTTTTTAACCTGTTTTTAGTTCTCTTAATTGACTGTGCTGTGAAGGAGGAAAACCTCTATTTCTGCTGTGAAGGAGGAAAACCTCTGTTTCCTTGGAATACATAAGGTGTTATTAGAAAAAGAGCCAACAGATAAGTATCTTACTAAAAGTAAAAAAAAATTGGGCCTGCACTCATAAAAGGATGTTCACGTTTCCTAAATGTAGTGTTCTATGGATATAGCCATGGCTTGCCTTAGTGCCTGACCACAGGTCTGCTCCTCCTGCTCAGAGAACTTCTTAGCTTCAACTCTGCTCTGCCTTAGATGCTGGAGCGATCCTCTCCTTGGTGGGATTTCCAGGGGCCCTAGCAAGATGCTCATAACTTAGCTTCAGTATTGCTGGGGCTCTGACTTTGACTTTGCTCTCAGTTCAGTTGCATCCCTGACTCCAGGCTCCCCCTTAGCCTCGATATTGAAATAAAATCCACCTTGTTTCCCTGTGCCCGATTCCCAGTCCTGATCACCTGTTGAGAATCTTAGTCCCACCAGGCCTGCCTTACTAATTCCTCCCCAGGATTGGGCACTACACTATTTCTTGTTCAAAGTCTTCTGTGACGCTAATTGCGTTTTTTTTTTTTTTTTTTTTTTTTTTTTTTTTTTAGACGGAGTCTCATTCTGTTGCCTAGGCTGGAGTGCAGTGTCATGATCTCAGCTCACTGCAACCTCCACCTCCTGGGTTCAAGCAATTCTCATGTCCCAGCCTCCCAACTAGCTGAGAGATTATAGGCATGGACCACCATGCCCAGATAAGTTTTTGTCATTTTAGTAGAGACTGCTATGTTGGCCAGCTGATCTCAAACTCCTGGCCTCAAGTGATCTGCCTGCCTCTGCCTCCCAAAATGTTGGGATTATAGGAGCCATTGTGCCTGGCCGATGCTGATTACCTTCTATCAAAATCTCAAAATATGGCTTATTTCAGGATCCTGCTGTGTACTATCTACCTGACAGGCCATGCTGTTAGATCTTGCTGAGAATTCATCCCCTCACAGACTTCTTTCTTAAGAAAATCAGTTGTCTGTTATCCTTTTGGGCACCCGGGTTAGCTTGCCAGGCTAGGCTTCCTCTCATTCACCAATTTGTTCTTCAGTAACAACGATGGGATCTAAGTCCTGCACCACTGGTTCCTATAGTTCTACTCCAGTTAAACCTTCCATGCCTGATCTGTGTCAGGGACTAGTATTTTACATAACACCATTTGCTTATCAGAAAATACAAAGTACAAATTCCTTTCCAGTTCCAAACTCTCCAGTTTCTCTCTCGCACCTGCCATTCTTCCGTTAAACATATGTTAATAAATTGGGAGCTTGCAATATAGTGGGGAAGAGATTCTAAATGGACAGACAATTGTAATACATTCTGATAATGATGTAAGCTGCTCTCAGAATGCAGAATAAGAAGTCCAAACTCTGAGGGTTTCCAACAGTGGTGAGGGAAGGAGTAGTTCCAGGGAAAGTCCAAGCAGGGGATTACACACATTAGAGGAAGGTCAAGTCAGTGGGTGTGGTTATAGCACCAAAGATAAGCTGAAAAGGTAGAAGACGATGGCCTTTTATGCCAGGCTAAGGAGTTGGATTCTGTTGTTCAGCAACTGGGCTATAGGAGGGTTTGAAGTAAAGGCATACACTTTATATTGTGTGTGTGTTTTGTTTTGTTTTGTTTTGTTTTTTTTACAAATTGAAGGTTTGTGGCACTCCTGTGCCAAGCGAGCCTATCACGATTTTTTTCCAGCAGCCTGTGCTCAATTCCTGTCTCTGCCACATTTTAATAATTGCAATATTTCAAACTTTTTCATTATTGTTACATCTACTATGGTGATGTGTGATTGGTAATCTTTGTTAGTGTTGTAATTATTTTGGGGGAACATGAACTGTATCCACATAAGATAGCGAATTTAATAAACATTGTATATGTTGTGACTGCTCCATAGACTGGACAATCCCCCATTTCTTTCCCTCTCCTCTGACCTTACACTCCCTGAGACACAGCAATATTGAAATTAGGCCAATTAATAACTCTACAGTGGCCTCTAAGTGTTCAAGTGAAAGGAAAAGTCACGTGTCTCTCTCTTTACACTTGATCTTAGCCAAAAGGCAGAGAAATGTTTACATCTCTCACTTTAAATCAAAAGCTAGAAATGATTAAGCTTAGTGAGGAAAGCATTCAAAAGCCAATACAGGCAGAAAGCTGGACTTCTGGCACCAGTCAGCCAAGTTGTGAATGCAAAGGAAAAGCTCTTGAAGGAAATTTAAAATGCTATTCCAGTGAACACATAAATGATAAGAAAGTGAAAAAACCTTGTTGCTGATACAGAGAAAGTTTGAGTGGCCTGGATAGAAGGTCAAATGAGCCACAACATTCCTTTAATGGAAGCCTAATCCAGAGCAAGGTCCTAACTCTCTTCAATTCTGTGATGGCTGAGAGAGGTGAAGGAGCTACAGAAGAGGAGTTTGAAGCTAGTAGAAATGGGTTCATGCATTTTTAAAAAAGAAGCTGTTCTTTTGTAACGTCAAAGTGCAAGGTGAAGCAGCAAGTGCTGATGCAAATGCTGCAGCATGTTATACAGAAGATCTGGCTAAGATAATCGATGAAGGTGGCTACACTAAACAACAGGTTTTCAATGTAGATGAAAATTTCATCTAGGACTTTCCTAGCTAGAGAGGAGAAATCAATGCCTGGGTTCAAAGTTTCAAAGGACAGATTGACTTTCATGTTAGGGGCTAATGCAGCTGCTGACTTTAAGTTGAAGCCAGTCCTCATTTACTATCCTGAAAATCCTGGGGCCTTTAAGAGTTAAAAATGGAACAACAAAGCCTAGATGGTCAGATATCTGTTTATAGCATTGTTTACTGAAAAAAATTTCTTTCAAAATATTACTGCTCATTATCTATGTACCTAGTTACTCAAGAGGTCTAGTGCAGATATACAAGCTGGTGAATGTTGTTTTCATGCCTATCAACACAACATCCATTCTGTAGCTCATAGAGCAAGAAGTAATTTTAACTTTTAAGACTTGTTACTTAAGAAATACATTTAATAAGGCAATAGCTGCCATAGATAGTGATTCCTCTGGGTGGATCTTGGCAAAATAAATGGAAAACCTTCTGGAAAGGAGTCACCAATCTAGATGCCATTAAGGACATTTGTGATTCATGGGAAGAGGTCAAAATATCAACAGAAGTTTGGAAGAAGTTGATTTCAATCCTTCTGGATGTCTTTGAAGAAGGGTTCAAGACTTCAGTGGCAGATGCAGCTTCAGATGTGTTAGAAATATCCAGAGAACTAGAATTAGAAGTTGAGCCCAAAGATGTGACTGAATTGCTGCAATCTTATGATAAAACTTTAAAAGATGAGGAGTTGCTTCTTGTAGTTGAGCAAATAAAGTGGTTTATTGAGATGAAATCTACTCCTGGTAACGATGCTGTGAACATCATTGAAATGACAATAAAGGATTTAGAATATTACATAAACTTTGTTGGTAAAGTAGCAGCAGAGTTTGAGAGGATTGACTCCAGTTTTGAAAGATGTTCCACTGTGGGTAAAATGATATCAAATAGCATCAGACACTACAAGAAATCTTTTGTAAAAGGAAGAGTCAATCGAAGTGGCAAACTTCACTGTTGTTTTATTTTCAGAAGTTGCCACAGCCACCCCAACCTTCACCAACCACCACCCTAATCAGTCAGCAGACATCACTATTGAGGCAAGACCCTCCACCAGCAAAAAGATTACAACTTGCTGAAGGCTCAAATGATCATTAGTAATTTTTAGCAATGAAGTATTTTTTAGTTAAGGTACATACATTGTTTCATACACTTAAGTGCATACATGTTAAGGTATGTACACTTAAGTGCACACATTATACATACGCTTAATAAGTGCACACATATTAAGTGTGCAATAGTATGACTAAAACAATGTGTGCACCACTTTTCTATGTACTGGGAACCAAAAATAATTCATGTGACTGACTTTATTACAATATTCGCTTTATTGTGGTGGTCTGGAACCAAACTGACAATATCTGAGGTATACTTGTGATGAATTATCACAATCAGATTTGTATTTTAGAAAGGCTCTTTGGAGGAGGGCCTAAAAAGAGGTGAGATTGGATTAGGAGGAAGACCAGTGGGGAGAAGCTCTAATGTAATAAAAGAGGAGGCAAGAAATGGTAAGTGCTTAAACTAAAGTAATATCAGTAAAGATGGGCTGGGGTGGGAGCAGAGTTGTAAAGTATTTGAGTTAGAATAGACGGGATTGGTGACCAGTTAGAAAGAGAAGTGGTGAAGAGGAGGGAACTGCTGAGGATAATTCCCACGTTTCTGCTTTGGGAGTTGAATAAGAATGGGGATACCAATCCCTGAGATGGGGCGTGCAGAAGGATGTTGGGGAAAAATGGTGAGCTTTGATTTGGACATTGTGTAAGAAGTGTTTGGGGGATGCCAGGTGGAGATGTTCCATTGACACTCCACAGTCTAAAAATCACATCCAGCTCAAGAAAGACGTCTTGGCTTGAGCTTGATTTGGAAACCATAAATATGTACAGATGGCCATAAATTCTGGAAACATAGATAATAATATTTTGTCAGGTATTTTAATACTGTATCAATAAATCATTTCTTATGTATTCACCTATGTTTCCAGACTTTGGAGCCATCATTTATAAATTGGCTGGAGCCAGATAGAATACAGATCAGCCAGACAGAATGTATAAAGTGTGAAGAGAAAGGGATTGGATATAGTCTTGGGAACAACATTATTTATGGAACAAAGGCAAGTGAGAAAAAGCAGTGGAGATGGGGGGGGTGGGTGGGGGGGGTGAGATTTAAAATGCAGAGAAGGCTCAAGAGGACAGCAATACTTCCGCTGAGATGGAAGGGAAAGTGGTGAGGATGAATAAGGATGGGCGCACGTCAGCCAACTTTCCATCAACTCCTTCAAACTTGCCCCCCAGTGGCCAAAAAGATTACTTTCTCTAGAATTGTGGTTCCTAACCTTTGTTAAGGTAACAAGCTCTTTGAGAATCTGGTAGAAGCCATGGACCATCTTTCACACATGAATAGTGAGAATGGAATGCTGTGTAGCGGGGGTCAAAGACCCAAGCATCCTAGTTGAAGACTCTTGATATTTTGCAACCAGCTTCTTTCTGTAACTACTTCTACATACTCACAGGAAGATCTTAGTTTCCACTGCTTCATTTTCATCTGAGAAAGCGGAAGAAAAAGAATTTGTGTAGCAGCATAATGTCCATAACTTTGACTTTTCTTAACACTGTACCTGACTTTTTCGCCTCCTTCCACTTTTGAAATTACTTCTAGGTTTCTGTTTGACAACCGAGGGGATCTTCTAAGGCTCTTTCCTTTAGCTCCCTGCTTTTGTTTATTTTTTAATCAACTGCTTTTCATTCAGTTTATTCTAATATTTATTGAGTGTGGACTATGTTTGATGCACTTACTCATTCTCACAACGTAAAAATCCTCTCTTCATGGGGATTTATCCCTCCAACTTATGCCTCAAGCTTTGACATGGTACAACTACACAATTCCCAGAGCAGCCAATCATGTCCCTTGAGATACACGGTTCTCTTTCCTCTGACTCTTACAATTTGATTCTTCCATACCAATCTAGGTCTCATTCATTTTCAATTTCTCAGCCTGGAAGTCTGGAATTTCTTCAATCTTCAATAATATCTGAAGTGAAAACAAAACAAATCATGAATCCTTAATTATAACTCTGCCAAAAATCCCACAATTTTGTTATGTTTAAAAGCAGTATTTTATTCTGTGAACCAATCAGTTGATCTTTATTTTCTCTTGTGTCTTTAGCGATTCCCCTTTTAGTAGTGGTGGTGTTCTGTGTTCTATTTTTTTTGTGTGTGTTGTTTCTCTTCCTCTTCCTTTCTTCCTTTTTGCACATTGTATTTGATGTTCTTCTATGCCATTATTCTGTACTGCTGGATCTCAAATTGCTCTTATGTTGCTTTTGTATAAAAATATTTTATATGTGGACTATCCCCAATAGATGTCAATCTTTCTATTCTTTTGCACATAGCTCACATGTTCATTATTTAATGTCATGCATTGGAATTCTCTAGTCAGTATCTAGAATTTCTTTTTTATCCAACTGCTCTTCAATACCAGCTGGTTAAGCGTGGAAAATTTTATACGGAAAAATTAAAAATGTCAGTGACATCTGGCTGCAGACCTACTTGTCATGTACAAGTTTTACAAGTTTTTTTACAATGTTTACAAGTTTTATGTCACAAGTAAATTTCTCTTCCCATTGGTTCTATTATTCTCACTCTTGAGTATGGCGAAGTTGAGGTCAGAATCACACTCTGGACCTTCTAAACCAAACAGATATCCTGGCAGAAAGCACACACGTTATTGAGGTCCTATTCAGCACATTATGGGATTGATATTCTGAAGAGGGGCGGCCTTGGAAAAGGTGATCAATAGTCAAGAGTCTCATTCCATCATTTTGTTCAGCTTTTGGTTTTTCACTAAAACATATTCTTAATAGGGTATTTATCATAATAGACATATGTTTTTAATGTATCAATCAGGAGGATGTGTGGTCTTGTTTGTTCTTGATTAAAAAGCCTATGTCAAAAAAATTATTTCAAAGTTGCAGTAATAATTGGAGCAATAAGATGGTAAGGGGTAATTAAAGGATGCAGCTTTCTTTTAGAAACAAAAACAAATCTGGTGACCACATGTATTCTTCTTTTCTTCCTTAATGAATATGATGAAACATGTTATAGTGAGATTATGGACATTAGAGATACACCAACTACATGTTAACGTGTCAGATTTGAGCCCAGGTTCCCACATCAACTATACTCAGGAATTTGTACCTCCTAACGTTGTAAACTGACTGATGTGTACATTTCGTACCATTTTGTGTCATGGTGAGGCCTGGATGTAGTGGTATTGCTAGTTCCCATATCATCCCTTCTCCCCACCCACCACACACACACACAAACATTGTAGATGAGAAGTATATCGCTTACCCTTCCCATTTTGAACTCTTGGACTACAAACCATAAATTACCCAGGTATTGCTGTGGAACTGTGTGTAAGGAAGACTGTGCTTACAGCACCATGCATAGTGGTTCAGGCTATGGACACCTGTGGGATGTGTGAAATGTGCTCACTCCTGCCTCCCTCCTCCACTCCTGCCTCCCTCCTCCACTCCTGCCTCCCTCCTCCACTCCTGCCTCCCTCCTCCACTCCTGCCTCCCTCCTCCACTCCTGCCTCCCTCCTCCACTCCTGCCTCCCTCCTCCACTCCTGCCTCCCTCCTCCACTCCTGCCTCCCTCCTCCACTCCTGCCTCCCTCCCCCACAGCAGACATCAACAATAAACTAGGACTGTGATCTCAGATGCAACCTCAGAACCCTTCTCGAGACAGCACTCTTGACCTTCATATTTGTCGATCAGAATGGGCAGAAGATAAAAAGCAACTGCCACCTCAGACTCTTGAGTTAAAATATGTAACAGCTGTTAATGAAGCATCACCTAGTGCGTATGTTTTGCAGCTCTTAGAGTCACTATGCGGAACTCATTCAGTTGCAAGAGCTCCATTAGTATGTTGGCAGAGTCTGTCACAGAAATGCTTTTCAAGGGCATTATTTGAAGTATAATATGATATTGCCTCCCTTAAATATTTTTCAGGCTTTGCCAACTTAGAGGATAACTTTGTCAAATCTTGTAAGTTTTTGTTTCCCATTATTGATTTTTTTTTTCCACAAATAGTCATTAAACATTCATTTGTTAAAGGCTTGGCACATTCCATTTTTCTACCAAATTTATATTATACCCAAACTATGTTTCAGCAATTTAGAATTAAATTAATGTAGTAGCTCCTGTTTATCAATATGGCAGACAGGCTGATGGAGGACAAGGGATGATTTACACCCGACTGTGAGGCTGTGTGTGTGTCTGTACACATGTGTGTGTGTATATACATCTTGCATAAACCTGTGGGCTCTTCCCTGTATTTATTTCACACTGGAGAATTCCTGATAAAATAATCCTTTAAATATCTTGACATGTGGTTTAAATCATCAAAGAGAAAAAAAATGTGTAAAAGCACAGAGGGGACCCAAAAACACGTGCATCTTACCAGTTAACTCCCTTTGTAGTCAAGGTAAATCATGAGAGCCAGTCATTTTGAGTCAAATCCGAACCTAAGTATCTATTTTAAAGTATCTTGCTAGTTCGAATTATGATAGGTGCTTCAATTAAGGGTAACATGGTAAGAGCATTATACTTGTGTGCTTAGAATATTTTCTGACAAAAGATCAAAACTGTTTTGAATGTGTGTGTTGTTGCTATGGGATTTGTTTGTCCTAAGGGTTGATAAACAGGAATAAGTAGGGCCAATCATTTCAGATGCTTACTGTGTGACATTCCAGGGGTGTGGCATCACACAAAATAATACGAATTAAATGGCAATTAAATCCAAAGTTCAGGAGTTTGTGACCAAAAAAGATGTTGGTACTTTTAGTGTTTTTGTAGTGTGAACATGAAACCACTCAATGTCAGACCTGGTGGGGCCTCAGAGGTTATCTGCTAACCTCCTCATTTTACAGATATGCACACCAAGCATCAGAGAGGGTGGAGGAGTTGCTTATGGTCACCCAGTTTGTCCAGGGTTGTTACTGGAATTCATATTTTTTGGTTTATAGCTCTATGTCTTTACGCATTTACTTATTCTTGGTGCTTCCTCCATCCCTTTAAAAGCCTCACACTGAGAAATTTATAGTCACTGAAAAGTTGCACCTGTGTTGATGAAGATCATTCCTGGCTATCAAGAAGGGCTAAGAGGTGGTGAAGAAACTTGTATCTGTTCCCTCCCTGGTTCTGGTGAGCTAGCTTATAGGGGCAGGGAATGGAGGGCCCCTTTACCAAGGTTGGAGCAAAGGAGGTTGGAGAAACCACATAACTTCTTTTTTCTCTGAAGTTTTCACTGCTCACTTGGAGTTGAGTCATGGAATGACCACTCTTCTTATGTCATCTAACATGGTTGATAAATGTTGTCATTTTCTTTTTATGTGTGTTGTCCTGTTTATGCAGCATAGCAGGGATGACCATTGCAGAGCCAAAAGACTGGCATGCAGGAACCATGAGCCCTCCCCTGGCATCCCCAGGATAGGTTGACGGACTCAGGGGTCTGGTAGGCTGGCCAGGGAAAATCCAGGGAGATGACGTTTTGGTGCGTTTATTGTGATAATGTTTCCTCCTGCCTATTTCCTCCTTGTTTGTCTGGCAAACTGCTGTTCATCCTTCAATACTGAGCACTTGGTGGGAATATAAATTAGTACAACCTCTATGGAAAACAGTATGGAGATTTCTCAAAGAACTAAAAGTAGATTACTACTTGATATAGCAATCCCACTACTGAGTATCTACCCAAAGTAAAAGGAGTCATTGCATAAAAAAACCCGTATGTGTATGTTTATTGCAGCGCAACTCACAATTGCAAAGATATGGAACCAACCAAAGTACCCATCAATGGACGAGCAAATGAAGAAAATGTGGTATATATACACCAAGGAATACTACTCAGCCATAAAAAAGAATGAACTGACGTCTTTTGCAGCAACTTGGATGGAGCTGGAGGCCATTTTTCTCAGCAAGTAAGTCAGGAATGGAAAACAAAATACTGTATATTCTCACTTATTAATAGGAGCTAAGCTATCGGTACACAAAGGCATGCAGAATGGTATAATGGACATTGGAGACTCAGAAGGCAGGGGTGGGTGGGGGTGAGTGACAAAAATCTACATACTGGTTATAATGTATACTACTTGGGTGACGTGTTCACTAAAATCTCAGACTTCACCAATATACAATTGATTCATGTAACAGAAAACCACTTGTACCACAAAAGCTATTGAAATAAATTTTAGTTTTTAAAGAAAGTCTGAGTACTAACACCTCCTCTTTTTTTCAATCCTTCCCGAGACTACCTTCCTCCCTTATCTCTCCCATGTGTTCCCAGAGAGATATATTTGAAATGAGGTATTTGGGCTGGATCGTTTCTGAGATCACTTCCGGTTTTTAAACGTTTCCTGGTTCTCTAGCAATGCCTGCCCCCAGTGATTAAGCCCTCCAGCTGGTGACCAGCCTGGCACTGGTTTGAATCAGGATTGGGAGGAATTTGTTTTCTCAAGGCATGTCTGCTGGCGGGTGGGTTGCTTGAAGATGCTGGTCCCACACACCCAGAACACTGCCTGTCGAACGGCTCCACAGCTGGCCCAGGAGAACTGCAGTCGCTGTCTCCAACAGCTGTGCTCCTTCTTTGCCTTCTATAAACAGATGACCGATTGGGTTGGTAACTTCAGAGGCATTCTTCTCTCCCCTCTCCCCTTTTCTTTCCATGAGATGTGTACTAACTGTATGTGCTGCAAAATCTGGGAGCCACCCCTTCAACATTTTTCTTCTCTAGAAGGGCAAGTTTCTTAGGTCTCCAGTGTTTGGATCCCTCACCCCCTCATCATTCCCACCCTCCCCCACAACATCACTCTCTCTCTCTCTCTCTGAGGCATCTATAGTCATCTTTATAGTATAAATATTAGCTGGAGAATAGCTGAGTCATCTCCAGTTTAATTATACGTGATCCACTGGCTGAAATCTACCTTTATCACATTCTATACACCTTTCTGCTTCATTTTTTCTTCTTGGTACTTGTGTTAAACTGACCATGGCCTGTATTTTGTATATATCGGCTCTTCACTCTCCACCATGAAGAGAATGTAAACTCCAGGGGACTGGAAAGCATTTTGTTTGCTATTGTATCTTCAGAGCCTAGAAGCGTACCTGGTACATGGTAGATTTCAACAAAAGATGTCAAATGAATGGATTATCAGTTTCCAGGAGCGAATTGTCTTGGACCCGCCACTACATTCCTCTGTGCCTCAGCCAAGGTTGGGCGTGGGAAGGGAAGTGTGGCAAAAAGAGGCAAAAACTCCAGATAAACTGAGGAATAGGGTTGACACAGAAGAATTTTGTTTCTTACTTCCTTTTTGGAATTCAGTGAGATGGTCTTGCTGAGACTTTCAACTCAGTACAGCCATCTGCAGCTAGAAAAATGGCTGCTTGGGGGTTTTATGAAGAAACTTGATGAGACAGGGCCCCTTAGTTTTCTGTGTCTTACAGTATGGAAATGACATGAAAGGGACCTCCATGTTCTTTCCTGTCTTGGTGAGACACAAAAGTCTTGAGAACCGAAGAGCCAGGATTAGGAGATTGTAAATAGCAGAGATTTCCACTTGGAGTCTGAGATAGGGACCAAGGGCTTCAGTAAAGGGCATCATGGTTATGTCTCAAGAACCATTAAAGGCCAACTGTACCTCCAGTCCCAAGATGAGCCACTCCATTTCAGCCCTTGAAGTCCTTCCTTCCAGTTCTCTACATAGCCATGCAACTTCTCCTTCACAGACACATCTTGAGAAAGAATAAAGAAAGATATCCCAAGAAGAAATAATCAGCCTTGCTCCAGATTTCTAACTTTGAATTGACTGAATATTTAACCTATGTAAGACAGAATGAGACCAAGAAGGGGCTGAGATAGCTTTCATTGGCATATACGATATTTTTTTCTTTTCCCATCATTGGCATATGGGCAAGATAAGATCTGCTGTAGCTAATGTGTTTAAAAAGCATGTCCAATAACATCTTTTTAAAAGCATATCTAAGCACAGGTTAAACTTAAGCTATCCCTCCTCCTTCCCTGCCATCATCAGCTCCAAATGGTGTTTTAGGAAAAGATTCAATGAGTAGAAAACAGGATCAACATGCCTAGACCTGCAAATTGCATAGGAAGACCGTTTCAGTCTTGGAAACTTAAATATCGCTCTTAGCCCCCAGCAAAGAGCAGGGTCTCTTTCTGTCTTTGAGTGTCAGGGGCGTCTAGCACTATCCCTAGGGACCATTGCCTGGGGACTCCTTTTTCTGGACCCTCTTTGGTGCACACCCTGTAGATTTGAGCCTTCAGAGCAGAGGGTCTAGCTTATCCTATGAACCCTTAGCCTCTCCAGCAAACTCAGGGACACAGAGAAAATGCACTCCTCTGGGTATACTTCCATTCTGTTTGGTTATTAATGTATCATCGTGATAACCTTATTATCCTAACACCCAAAGCCAAAATTATTCTTGGTTGCTTTGTGTAGGAGAACATTTGCTAAACTCTCAGGGGTAAACACTGAGAAGTGTGGGTTAACTGTAGAAAGGGCAAGCAGAGAGATAGATGGCTGGCTCTGCTCTTGAACTGAATAGGGCTGTGGGTTGAGGAGATGGGGTGAGAGGTGGGGGAAAGGTAAGCAGCTCTGTGGAGTGATGCAGGACTTTGAAGAACAATGATGTACATTTTATGTTTATGGATTGAAACACACCCACACAAAGCTTTTTGTCACCATTTCTGCTTTTGCTTGTTTGGTATGGAAATAATGAAAGGTAGCTGATTTCCCTTTCTGGATTGGAAGATGAGAAGATGATCCAAAACCAGAAGGAGTTCTTCAGGTGACTGTGAGAACATAAGAAACTCAGGAATTCACGGAAATCTGGACGTTTCTTCAAATGGTGGAATAGCGGTTTCAAGATAATTGTATCTAGATTGTAGACTGACATCTGGATTACATTAATTGAAAGTCATGGCCAAACTTAATATCTTTCCATCCTCTCTCTTTGCATCTCAGTGAGCTCTTGTTTCTGAGGCATTTTAAGTTTTCATTCCTTAGGTGAAGCTGTTTTCTGTTCTCTTCAGAAAACATGGAGGAGAGCAGAAGGGCCCATATTCTCTATTTGGGTTTCTCCTTTCCAGGGTGGAGCCACTGACCAGTTCAAAGAACGCTGCATGAGAAACAGAAAATTCTCAACACAGGTCCATATCAAAATGATATTTTATTGATTTGGCAGTGAAGATATTATGTGTGCAAATATTGAAAGAATTCTTAAATGGAAGAGACTGAGAAGTACGATTTTTAAATCTGGCTATCCTTGCCTCATTCAATATAGGTCTGCTGCACACCCACATCAGTGTCTGGGCACCCAGATTGCTGCAGATTTCATTTTCTCTGCAACAAAATATCATTGTTCTTTTCCCTGTGAAGTCAGTATCTTGCATTCCACAAACCTTCCACTATGTCACGCTGCATCCAGTGGCCTTTAGCATCACTGTGCTATAGTAGTTTTATATGTAGAAACAAATAAAATTTAGATCCTTTAGGGATAAAAAAATTTTTTTTACTCCTATGGTGGAATAGGCATGGGGTAGAGGCCTGCCTCAGGCTTGCTGGATCTAAGGGCTCCTATCACACTGTTACGGCCAATCTTGCTTTATATCTCTTGGTAACTTGATCGTCAGGTGATGAACAAGAGGGCTACTCAAAGGCAGACTCACATTGTATCTGTGTAGAAAGTCTAGGGTGAGAAGAAAGTCTTTTTTGATAGGTTTTGCAGATCAATCTCAGGGAGGAATATGATCAGCTTTGTTTGCAATGATTATTTCCCATGGCTGAGCCCATCACTGTGGCCAGGTCATGGAAGAGTCTGATTGGCTAGGGCTGGATCACGTGCCTGGTCCTGTGGTCAATAAGGATGGGCCAGCCTCACCGGAACCAGGAGAAATCAGTTCCCCATAACAAAAATAGATTCTGGTGGCAAAGCGGGAAGGGAGTGCAATAGGTATAACCAGCAGATACCTACTTCCTACAGAAGAGTTAGAACTCAGAGAGGTCCTGTGTTTTGACAGGCTGGGAGATGAGACCCAATTTACTCTAGGGGAGAGGAAGCCTGTACTGTGTGTTGCAAGGGAAAGCCGTTATAGATACAACAACATAGTCTCTGACTACAGGAATTTTATGGTACAGATACATAATTATATAAGGAGGTGACTGCTATTAAAAGAACCAGTCGGAAGAAATATACATTTCAAACATAAAGATAGAATTTACATGAGTTAAGAAAATGTTAAGAATAGCTGAGGTGAAAGAATTGGGGTTAGATTGTTTATACTTAGAGTTCATATGAGCATGCACGTTAAAAATCCTGTCAAAATATTCTTTCTCATTTGCTTACATATTTATCTTCATGTTTCATCACTGTCTATGACTTGCCTATTGTCTATTGACAGGTAACACACACATTCTCTCACATACTCACACACTCATACACTCACACTCTTCTGCTTGGTGGAGTTATTTAGGAGCCTGCTCACAGATCTGTAAATCAGACAGTTGGCCCAGCTGGTTTAGAGTATGATATAAATTAATCCTCCACTAAAATGTATTAGATACTTATGCTGGTACACACAGGTGCCAGTGGAAAGCTGTCTTCCCAGGAGCTGTGAAATTGCAACAAAAAGTCAAGGAAAGAGAAGATGAGACACACAGGCACCTTATTAGTTAAATGTAGCTCGGCCCTTCCGGCTTCATAAATGAATTTCTCGTGGGCAGATAGAGAAGATCAGTCATTTAAACAACCAAAGCAGATAGCACAAGCAAAATCACTTACCCACCTTCAGAAATCTGAGGCATGGAGCCTACCTGCTTTGTTTTTGATTTCCAAGAGATACTAGTTTAAATGTTCAAATTTTATTTGCCTAGCATCCCAGAAGAAGGTAGCACAAAATGCAGTTTCCACTACAATGCTTTCCTGTGGAATTTTAATGGTGAAATGTATCATAAATACAACTGTTTAAAGTGTATGTATAATTTAAACAGTGTTATATCCAACACCTAGCTTAAGACATAAAATATTACTAGTAATGAGACACATATTTTGTGCCCCTCACCAAAAACATCTTCCACTCTCTCCACCAAGAGGTAATCATGGTTCTCAACTTTGTGTTAGTCATTCTCTTGCTTCTCTTCAGAGTTTTATTGCCTATTTATCATCCCTAAGCAGTATATCATTTAATTTTACCTATTTATGACTTTTAAATATGCAAGATAATATTGAATATATTCCTCTGAGACTTGCTTATTCTGCTTGACATTGATTTGAGATGTATTTATGTTGATGCGGGTAGCTATGGC